CCCTGTTGGCCCATTCGGTGGATGGAGAAAGAGTGGATGATGGCCAGTGAGCGAAGTGCTACAAGAACGAATGGTACTTTCGTAGTTACACGGCCTGAGGAGAGGTTCTTTTGAATCGCCCTTCCTGGGGAGTCTGTGACCCAAAAGTTTAACCCGCAAGGCAGCGGTTAGTAGGGCTATATTGGGGGACCCTACGCGGAGCCAATGACTCAATAGTTTGATCTGCTTGGTTGCGCGGGACTGGCCTAGCCCGTGAGGGTGCCAGGTCTAAGGCATAGATATCCCCCTCGTCCTGCTGTGTTTGGTGTTCCATTGGCATCTTGGTTTGTTCAGATTGCATTTTGACCGTGTTTAATAATTCGCCGGTAAGCGCGATCAACCGCTGAGTGATGGGAGCGTACTGTTTTTAGGGCGGGCTTTTTCTAACTCCTCTGATGAAGGCGGCATCGCTGGTTCCATAATTCTAAACATGTTGGCCTTCTGGATGATACAGCTTACGGTCATCATTCTCCAGTTACATGGAACAGTATGTATGACCTCATCCCCATACTGCTCCGTACTACGGAGGTTCCCTGCTCTCTCTCCCTCTCTCTCTCTCTCTCTCTGGCTGCTCTACTTTGGCAGTCCACGGTTGGTGGATAGGTCATTGTTGCGACGTATTTTCCTCAAAGTACTTTTTTATGATTCCAGGTCAATTTAGTGACGTACTGCCCAGCGGTATATTGGCTCTCGTAACTTAGAACACAAACGATTCACAGACTGACATGGTGATCGGTGGTGCCAGCTGTTTCGGACACGTTTGCTTCGTCATTCACTAGGCATTTACTAATCGCTACACCGCTGTTAGATATCACCCCAAAGCTGGATTCCTGATAGTTTAGGGGGATTTGGGGGATTTTCAACCGGACTTTCATCTTGTAAGTGAGCTTACTCTACGCCATGCATCAGACGGCTCAATCTTCAACCACTAGCTGAGAGTTGTGAGTTCGAATTCCACGAAGATTCGTGGAATGCGCACTACGGATGATCTTCAGTGAAAACGGAACAATTGTACAGTGCTCGGTGTTTTTTCGGCTCACTTCACTTACGGGACGAAAGCTTCATTAGAATTCGATTATTGGAAATTGTTTGTCAAACAGTAGAGTTCATCAAGTGATATGATGACAAAGACATGTCTATTTCTGGTTCGAAGTCTAGAGGGTGGGTGTCGTGGATGCTGATTGATTCGTATGTTTCAGGTGCGTCGGCAGACTGTTTATCGCTTGCCTCCCTCTTGTTGAACAGAACCTGCTAAAGATAAGTTTAACATGCCTTCGGTCCCACGATCCTCATCACCACTTCCAAACGCTCAGTCAGACAATCTATAAGAAAAACTGACAGCATGAATGCCACTGACATCGGTTGTCCGCCATTCCCTGTATTCTCTTCAGCCCAGCTGAGCTTTTGAAGACCCCATCATGGAACCTGGACCGCCTCAAGAACACCCAAACTCTTCCTAATGTCTTTCCTCCTCGAAGTGAGGGAGGCAGTTTGTCTAACCTTTGTCATAGCTGTGCGTAGGCTTTCTGAGCACACTTCATGGTTTGTAAATTCTTCTGTTTTTACAGGCATTCTTTTCGCTTCATTTTGCAGTGATTCGGGGATGTCAGCTAACGTCACACTTGTGGCTGCCTACCTGATGTCTGTGTACCAGCTGGATCGGTCATCAGCCCTCAGTGCCCTTCGTGGTCGGAAACATGCGGCCCATCCTGTTCCGGCACTTTTGGCCCAGTTGGATCAGTTCGATAGCGCTTCCTCCGCTTCTCCTGAGAACCCAGGGTCTTCCGCCACGTCAGCATCACCCCGCCAACCCCTCCCGGTTGTGACATCCATGTCGGAAAATTTGCGCCTAACGGAGAAGTTTGGTTCTTGGCCACGCCTCGAGGTAAACCGTATGCCAATTGCTTGCTCTGGGAGGCCTTACTCTTGTTAAGAGGGTCACAGTGGTAGATATTTCGCGCAACTGAATGGGCTAGGTAGATCGAGGCTTCCTGGTCCCTGTCGTATTGGTTGAATCAGCCACTCGACCAGCCTGATGACAGAGCTGCAGCTTGGGTGTTTACGACTACACATGGTCGTGGTGCACATGGTCAGGCTTCATAGTGGTCCCAATGCCGATCACCGAAAATACGGTGTGTGTGTGTGTGTGTGTGTATCGTCCTAAACGTCTGCCAGGACGCACATCCTGGTTAATGTGGCTCAGAGAAAGCCTGATTTGGCAGAACTTTCATTAGGTGAACTAGGGTTGGTGGAGATTTCTTGAAAATCACACGTACCTATCCAAGGAAACATTAAAACCGGGTATATTCTTTCCGACCTTTGCCTTAAAACTGCTAGATAAGTAGAACATCTGTACCACACTACTCGCGCTACTGTCCATCCGGTTAGTATTCACTTTCCAGGGACGTCATTTTTTGTGCTTCATCCATGAGGCCAAGTTTGCTTCTCGTTGTCGCACATCATTCCACCGCGGACAGGCAGAACGGGGATAACCACACGCGGAAGGTGGTGGTTTGCATCGGGTCGAGAGGACTCAGTCGCTGGACCGCGAATCACTAACCCGAAGGTCCGTTGTTCGAACCCGAACTCTACCTCTCGACTTTTTCTATCTAAGCTTGGGCATCCTGGTAGTATCCCAGCCTTTGTGCTTCCCTCGGGTAGCATATCAGCTAGGCACTGAAAGGGTGTGAGAGCTGAACGTATTGCACCGGTTCAGTGAAGGCGCTGTTGATGAAAAGCAATAGGCAAGGGTTCAGCTATATAGCATTTTGGTGGATCTCCACGGCTAGCTAGTTTTGAAGGCAATAGTCCTTATTTTTTGTGTTCCTAATCGCTGAATGTGACAGAGTGGTCTTTTGCTTCTGTAAAAGGGATACAGAGAGAATGAGAAATTCGAATAACCTTGAAATGAAACCCAAACACAGATGATACAGACTGAAACTGGCCGTAAACAGGTGTCGTTCATCCGACCCTACCAAACTGTAGATGGCTGTCTCATTAGCTTTATTTCCTCTCATGTGCTGCCTCAAAAGCCACTGGACACAGAATGTTCACACCCACTCCATGGCCAAGGCATCCCGTACACAAGCGCACAGACGGCCATCTACGATCAATCGAGACAAAGGAACAACCGCCCGAGGACCGGTGTGGGTGTGTGGGAGACACACTGGTTGGTTGACAGCGGATCGACCGTCAAATACGGTGACAAGTGAATCATATATATAGAAGTTTGTAATTGCGTTAAGACACAGTTCCTTCAGGTCGTCTTCTTGTCTTCTGACTATAACCCAGTAGTGTCAGGGCAGGTGAAGAGAATACAACACACGGCTAGCTAGTTTTGAAGGCAATAGTCCTTATTTTTTGTGTTCCTAATCGCTGAATGTGACAGAGTGGTCTTTTGCTTCTGTAAAAGGGATACAGAGAGAATGAGAAATTCGAATAACCTTGAAATGAAACCCAAACACAGATGATACAGACTGAAACTGGCCGTAAACAGGTGTCGTTCATCCGACCCTACCAAACTGTAGATGGCTGTCTCATTAGCTTTATTTCCTCTCATGTGCTGCCTCAAAAGCCACTTTAGTGGTGAGCCAATCGAACCTGTGTTCGGGTGGTGATGGTCATGGCCACACACCGATAATGCTCACCATTAATGAGCAATTGCTTTGATGAACTAGAGAAGGCGCGAATTGACAGCTTGCTTAGTTTAATTGAATCGTATCTGTAGAATATCTAAGGCGTAGCACGTAAGATTACGGGCGATATTACACAGTCCGCCCGGATCAGCTGAATGCTGCATAGATCGATAATCTATCAAGTTCGACGCCCTTGTCCTTCAAGACCAAACGGACGATTTTGGGCAAAATTTCCTCTTCCTTCTGGTGATTGTGTGAGGTACGTTTTACGGGTGTTCCGAGCGTTCTCGTCTATCCTGTTTGATAGCTAAACGCAGCGACATATATGTCACATGCTTCATAATATAGCAGCGGCGAGATGGCCGAAGTGGTTAGAGCGCGAATTTACTGACCAGAAGGTCCATGGTTCGAACCCGACCTCTGACTCTCGATTTCCCCTGTCTAGGCTTGGGTAACCTGGCAGTATCCCAGCCCTCATGCTTCCTGCGGGTGGCATAGCAGCTAGGCACCGGAAGGGTGCTACAAACGAACGATTATTATATTACTTAGACTAACACTCAGACCGTAGCATCAACGGGTTGTGATATAAGCGTGACAGAGAACAGTTCTGACAGTTTATTCGCAGCGAATTCAATCTACGGAGGTAATCTATGGTTAAAATCAATTGACTCGATTGTAATACAGGTTTAAGTAAGCGGGTGATCTTGGAATGCAACCTGGGAGTTTTAAACCCAGTCATGGCGTTTGTGCTGGGTAGTGTTGTGTCGACGATCGTGCAACTCTGTGTCGGTCCCTTGGCTTCCTGCTCCGCCCACCATGGTATATCAAAAGGCACGGTAGATCTAGACAGCCCTTTATGGAGACAAAGGAAAATTATTACAACTGTATTCATACGGTAGTTTTCCACAAAGTCGTGCTAAAATCTCCGTGTGGAGGGGGGCGAGAAGCGTCGACTCAAATATGCTCGGTCCGGATTGGTTGGCATTCTGACCAATCAGGGAATGCCTTCTTTTGGTCCGTGTCCTGCACGTGACACATCCACCCAACTGATGCGATGTTCGGTTATTAGGGACGGCTGGCCTGCGAGGTCCGCTGGCAGAGTCTATCTGCGGGACTGCCGGTCTTTAATTTTGGCATCAGTAAACCTGGTCGGTACTTTTGATGATGCAGAAACTGTTTACTATGTCTGATGACCCCTGTGTAACCAGCTACCTTCTAATACGACTGCTCCACGACAGTCTCCTTTGTTCTTCCCCTCACCTCCAGTGCGACTAAATTCATTCTATCATACCGGCTCGGTGATATCATCCAAACAGAAAAGTGTACAATTGGACGACATAACGGATTGAAATGATCGGCTGAAGCAATTTTAGGTCCGCTTAAGTATGCCCCAAAGGCTTGTTTGATTGAGCAGGGATCACACACAACATCTAGACCAGACTCAATTGCGTAACTTCCGATGATCCTTCAGCTCCGGGCGATGTGCATTTTGTCGTAGACAACTTTTCCAAGACTCAGGTTGATTTCCTGTGAAATCCTTGCCCCATTTTTCTCCACTTCAATTTCTCCTTCAGGAAGACATGCATTTACTACAAAGTGCCATGAATTCGCACAAATCTTTCACCGAATCAGACTTTGTCCCCTATGAATCCGGAGACATTGTCGAAACTGAAACACCACCGAGTGAAGATGTCCTCCATCATCCGAGTAGTCCACCGGCGCTCGAATCATTCTCTCCGGTCACAAATAATGTCCATTGGACTCCACCAAGAACACCACCTTCGACTCCCATATCCTCTGTCGTTCCCGCTGGTGAACACGTGACTGTCCCTCTGGAAGCCATTGCTGAAATCGGTAAGCCTTTTTTTTATCTTGGCAACTTATTTCTTCCAATTCTCCCCTCGGATCGCATGCGTGAGAACGTCGTTTCGATCTTTGAAGTAAACGCAGCAGCTATTCCGTTGGAAACCTGTGAGTTTTGTTTACCCACGAATTGTGTGATATGTGGGTGGTTTCGAGATCTGCTGGATAAAGAACGTTGGTCAACACATTCGGTTGAAGAACGTCGTGCAAACTGAGAGATTTGGTGGAACTTCATAGCCTCTCGTTTGCACGGCTCTACTCACGTACGATATGGTGTTCAAGCAGGAAGTAAGACTGGGAACCCCAAGGATTACTTCTACGTGATGAGCTTGAGGAAAAACGGAAACCAGTGGTAGGCTTTCCAAGAATATCACAACAACCTTACAAGCAGCCGCTTCATAGATTTGTTTTCATTTGTAACGCATCTGACAGAGCGATATCCATCCCGATACGTTAGTCGTTCACTTGTAGCGCCCTTCCGGTCCCTAGCTGCCATGCCACCCGGGGGAGCACGATGGCTAAGACACTGCCAGGTTGCCCAAGCCTAGACAGGGGAAGTCGAGAGGCAGAGGTCGGGTTCGAACCACGGACCTCCCGGTCAGTGGATTCGCTTTCTATCCATCTCGCCCCCATAGGTAGATACTAATACCAACGAGCTTATCGCTTTTGCCGTTACCATTAGGTGAGCATCTTGAAAACTTAAGCCTAATCGATCGGTCGGGAATTCTTTTTTCCCTGTTGAATATGAAATAATAGGGATGAATACGTTATGTTTATACCCTTCTCCTTGCTTTTGTGCGGATAGCAGAGTGCCGACCACACGGTAAACGCATTTTCCACTAGTCCTCATTGATCTGCTTGAAAAACTCCGACTTTTCTGATCGTCTTAAAGTAGTAAGTATTGATGTTGTGCCTACGGGGAATTGGAGACTTTGCTGATGTTTGTGGAGATTTCGTCCTGTAAGTGAAGCCAATCTATGCTGAAAAGCAGGACGAAATCTCCACAAAAATCCCAAATCTCCTCATACTACCAACAACACATAAGTAGCTCAGTGGAAGAGTAAACTTCACCCGATGAGTGAAACTTCCATCTGAGAAGTCGTTGCTCCAGGAGCCGGTCAACACGTGTGAACGCGTGATGTGGATCCCGTGATTGAAGGATGAGCGGCGCTATATCCTGTCTAAGTGCGAGTTAATCACACTGCTGATCAGCCACTCGTTGCCGAACGGTTAAGTGTTCAAACTACTGGCCGGGAGGTCGCGGGTTCGAGACTCTTCGGAGTTTCGTGAGATGCGCACTGCTGGTGATTCCTAATAAGGATGAAACAGCTGTACGGTGCTTCTCGGCTTTTCAGCACAGATTGGCTTCACTTACAGGACGAAATCCCACAAAAATCCCAAGTCTCACACTACCAACTTTGCTGATGTCTTTGGTTTGTCTGAAGTGAACTGACCTTGTGTTTCATACATTGCTTTCATTTCACGGACTTAAACGTTTTTCAGAACTTCAAATTAACCATCCGGGTATCCTCCTAAAACATCGAAATTCCGCTTTACGGTCAGTTTCTCCTTGTGGTTTGGAACCACCGTTTCATGTGCCATGTGGTGGCTTACCTCGGAACGTACAAATACCCGACTACTCCAGTACTCCTATTGCTTTTTCTACAGGTAAAGCAATCAATCCTACCACGGAGCCCAACGATGAAAATCTCTGTGGAGGGGATCAGCGCACCCCGACGGCGTTAGTCGCTCCAGAATCTGGGATTTTCTGCCTGGATACAACAGAGGACCCACTACCGCCACCCAGTCCGGAGCCAGAACCATCAACTTGGGTAGGTTTTCCTGTCTATTGACCAGCATCTAGAGGGTGGAGTTGCGGAACCTTGGTTTTCTACTCCCCCTGACAGACAGTTTTTCATTGGTGGGAGAATTGGGGACAGGAACAATCTCCCACCGGAATGTTTCTGTTGCTTTCAATCAAGCGGTGGGAAAATTCACTGGCAAAATCATTTCTGTGAATCATAGTATACGTTCATGAGAGAACATCGTCCCATTCGGTCGAATAGGCTAATCAAAGGAACGGAAACTATTTGACAGTCTAATCGTTCGAACTGATTAGCGAGCTCTAGGCGGTGGTCTCCGGTCTGAGTGTCATGTGGCTGAATGGAAGGTTCTAGATCGTTCAGCCGTAGCATCCTTAAGGTGCCTGACTGCCATGCCACACGAAGGTTGCACGAGGCCTGGGATACTGCCAGGTTCTGCAAGCCTGTTACGAATAGAATATCGATTCTGACTGAGCGCGAGAACAAAAATGAATAGCGTAGAATGAATAGCGCTTTACTTGTCTAAGAATAGACGCACATAAGCTGAAAATGAAGGCGAAAGCATGGTTAATACAAAACGATAATGTGAGCACAAAGAATATTCATGACATTCACCCTGTCCGTTGGATTGTGTGTAGAGGGATAAATTGGGTACAGGT